GTGTTGGGTCTTCATTGCCGCGTGTGGGCTTTCTCTAGTTGCGGAGAGCAGGGGCTACTCTTTGTTGCGGTGCACGGGCTTCTCATTGTGGTGGCTTCTCTTGTTGCGGAGCACGGGCTCTAGGCGCGTGGACTTCAGTAGTTGTGGCGCCAGGCTCAGTAGTTGTGGCACGCAGGCTCAGTAGTTGTGGCTCGCAGGCTCTAGAGTGCAGGCTCAATAGTTGTGGCATATGGGCTTAGTTGCTCTGCGGCTCCGCGAGATCTTGCTTCAGGGCTCGAACCCGTGTCCCCTTCATTGGCAGGCGGATTCTTAACCACTGTGCCACCAGGGAAGTCCCACAGCATTGTTATAAGTGAAAGATGAGGCAGGAGGGTCAGAGAAGGAAATGTGGCCGTGGAAGCGGAGGGTGGAGTGATGTGAAAAAGGGACCATGAGCCGAGGAGTTCTGGCAGCCTCCAGAAGCTGGAGAAGACAAGCAGATTCTCCCCTGGAGTCCCCAGAAGGAACACAGTCCTGCTGACACCTTGATTTTAGACTTCTGACCTCCAGAACTGTAAGATAATACATTTGTATTGCTGTAAGCCACTAAGTTTGTGGTGATTTGTTACAGTAGCAATAGAAGAATAATACAGTCCTTCTGAAAATTGAATTAATCATCTGGTAGAATCAAGTGGAAGAACTATTTCATGTCACAGGACAAAAGAACAAAGAGAAGGAAATCACTAATGAAATAATAGACATGGACTACAGAGCTAATATACCTAGTCTAAGTAATAGACATCTAGGAGAAGAAAAAAGAACAAGTAGAAAAAAGTAAATAAATAATAGAAGAACTTGTCAGTGAGCTGAGGAAAGACTTGAGTGTACATTAAAAAGGTCACAGAGTCATAGGCAAGATTATTAAGCAGGAAATAAACAGATCCAGAGTTATATGACTCACGAATTCCAAGAATAATGATGATAATAATAAAAAAGATTTACAGGCTTTCACATAGAAAAATTACTTACATAGGAGAGAGAGACCAACATCAAACTTCCCTTTTATAACCTGTTAAGGATTATTAAATAATCTTAGTAGTCTTAGGGGGGCAGGGAAGATTGCAATTAAAAACTCATATATTTCCAAAGATGTCATATATCTATTAGGGCACAAAAAGACATTCATTTATTTATTCATTTTATAGCTGTATATTTAGTAACTAGGTACTATTCTAGTCATTAAGGATATGGTGGCTTCCATATCACTGGAAAACTTTAGTAATAATCTCAAACTAAATAGTTTTAAAACAGTCTCAGCACAGGCCAGGACTTAGGAGGGGTGAATGGAAAGCAGTGAGAGAATGGTTTTAAAAAAGTGTTGTGAAAGCTTCACCTTGGTGTGGGGTAAGTTACCTAGTAAGGTTTCCCTGTGGGGTTAGGTTGAAAAAAACATTAAGTCTAAGTACGTGTGTTAAGAATGAGAAAGTAACCACTGAAGTGTCAAATTAACATGGGTAAAAGAATAAATAGAAATTCCACTTGCTAGGAAAAGAAGAAATAATGAACAAAATAAAATAAACAGAAATTATGAAATTACATGAAAGAAGAAAGCACCAGTCTTCATAACAGACGAACTTGGGGATGGCAGGATTCAGTCCCTGGATGTCACTGTTGAGCTGCTGGAAAACCCACTTTGAAGCCCACTCTGTGTGTATACTTCCAATTACATGAAATTGTTTTATTTTTTAAGGTACTTCGAGTTGAGTTTTCTGACTCAGCAGAAAGCCTCCTAATAATACCCCCCCATTTCACAGATGAGAACACTGAGGGTCAGAGAAGCATAAACCTAAAAGAAGGAACACTTGAGAGGAGAAAACCATAAAAAATTTTTGAAATTTAGCAGACCTGAGAGAATTTTAGAAGTAACTAATTTAGCAGACCCAAGAAAGCTGAATCCTAAGCCATCTGTGCTTGATTTATATTCCAGAATCCCCTAAAGTCCCCCAAAGTGGTGCTACCAGACACCTATGGAAGTGGGGATAGAGTGGAACAAGTTAAGATAAGGAGGATTGGTGAAAAGCCTGCTTATGAAACGATTTGATCCCCACCTCTTTCCCCTCCATCCAGGGTACCGGACCACTGCCTCTTCCCCACCTCAGCAGTAGAGGGAGGGTAATTCTCCAGAGAAAGTGAGACTGTGGCCTGGGCACAGATTGGGGGAGGGGAGGATGGGATGAGTGCTTACAGACTAAATGTGTGAGCTCCCATCTCCCATTACCTGGACAGCCAAACTTTAATACCCCAAGAAGGAGATCAGAGAGTCTTATCTGGGGAATCTGGTCTACCCAGCAGGACAGTGTCACACCCTGCTAGCAGTTGGGTGTCCATGAAAAACCCAGATGGATTACCCAACAGGAAGTCTTGTCAGGTGCCACCCATGCAATCTTAGAGTTTCAAATGATCATTTTTAGTGCTTCCTTCTTAAATATGAACAGATGACTAAGCCTTATCATACTTAAGAGAAAAACCTCTCATGGGAAAGTAGGGGCCAAAACAAACAAACAAACAATAAAGAACACTAAGGGGAGACGGAATATGCACAGGATAAGAAAAAAGTAAAACCTATCATCAGTATCCTGGGAGAGACTGAGATTGCATCCGTGGGAAGGGCCAGGATTCCATTAAAAATGGAATAGCTAGTGAACAGAAGGGGCCTCTTGAAATTTAGAAATGATAATGTATCCAAAAGATTGGAAGTTAAAGAAAATAGGTCAACAATGACAACCATAGGGAAGAGTTAAGAATAGTAGAGGACCATTTCAGGAGATCTAACATCCAACTAATAGAATTCCAAGTGGGGAGAGGAGAGAAAACGGGATGGAGGAAATGACAACATCAAGAAAATTTCTCAGCTCTAAAGGACAAGAACTTGGATATTGAAAGTGCTCACTCAGTGCCCAACATGGAACATGAGAGTGACTCACCGACACTGGGATAAAGGCCGACACGTTCTCTCAGGGAGAATGAGAAGCAGTTCACACTCAGGCCCAGGAGGAAGAAGAGCTTCAGACTTCTCAGAGCTGACACTGGAAGCTGGGGGGTGGTGGAGCAGTGACTTCACGATTCTGAAGGGTAATTAATTTTGAACTAACTAATAAAGAATAATAAACTCGTAAACACTAAATAAAAAGGTTCCCCTGCTATTTCTTGATTTTACAGCATTAAGTTAACTGTTACCTGACAGCTATGGAAGATGAGGGTTTAAGTCCCTGTAAACCACACGCCTTTTCATTCCTCATTTATAGTTTTTAAATATAAAAAAATAATTTATGTTTAACCAAACTTTCATATTCAGACTTGTATAGTTTCAAAAAAATTGCCTCCCATTCACCTTTTCTTTGTAAGCTTCTGGAGGAAATAAAGACATTTGGGAGGAAGGTTTAGCTTCGAACTAGTAGTAAATGCATAAAAAACTAAGCAAATGTAAAAAAAAGATTAATTCTGGGGGTGGGAAGAAGAATGTTATGGAAGAAAGGAAAGCTAATCATAGTTCATACATGGGTAAGCGGCAGAAGTTATATTGTAATAATGTAGGCATTGAATATTGCTCTAACCAAAATTACCAATACAATGATATATGAAAGGGGGGGGGATGAATGTAAAGAAAAGCATTAAAGACACTGAGGGTCATGATGCAATGATAAAAGGTGTGATTCATAAGGAACATGTTACAGTCTTAGAGAAGCCCCCAAATCTTATCAAATACAAACGCATAATGAAAAAATTCTTAAAAACGGAGAAAAAACTATTCAGTCAAAGTACAGTTGTAGTGGGGGATTTAAATTTGTCCATTTCAGAATTTAGCAGATAAAATAGAAAGAGTATGGGCATATACAAACCACTAAAGAATCAAGCAGAAAATATGAATAAGGTGTACATGTTAAAGTAACAATGGGAAAATATTTTTTACCCATCATATTGGCAAAAATTCAAGAGTTACAACATCCACTGCTGGGGAAGAGATTGGAAAACACAGATCTTCCTTGACTTACGATGGGTTACGTCCTGGTAAACCCATTATAAGTTGAAAATATCTAACCTACCAAACACAGCTTAGCCTGGCCCACCTTAAGTGGGTGCTCAGAGCACTTATGTTAGCCTACAGTTGGGCAAAATCATCTGACATCAAGCATATTTTATAATAAAGTGTTCATAGAAATGTAAATTATTATAATAACTTATTACAATATATCACAATATTTGGGGGGGAAGTAACTTTTAAATATCTCTTAAAACTCTAAATACTCATATCCTTTGACTCGGCAGTCTGAATTTTGAGACTCTGTCCTACAAAAATAATAGAACCAGAAAGTACTGGATGTTCATAGAAAAATGTTTGTAGTGGCAAAAAATTGAGGAAAACCTGAATATTCATAAACGGAATAATTCTGAATAAAACTGAAGGACATCCATATTCTGGAATTATTATTCAGCTGTTAAGAAGTTGAGACTGTCAGTGTGGACATATCATTAACTAGGAAAGCAAGTGGTGAAATAATGTCTGATTTGACCCATTCTTATAAAATACATAGTAAAAATCATGAGTATGATTTGTATGTATGTTATGAGTATGTACATGAAGGTGAATAAAACCTCACCCAAGCTTTTGACAGTTGTTGCATTAGGGAGGTGGGATGAAGAGGAGGAGATCTTGATTTTCTTTCACTTTTTATAATAAGCACATGATGCTTTTGTAATTAATGAAAAATTAATAATAGATCAAGTAAGAATTTTACCAGAGTCAGAAATTTTCTAGGAAACATGTAGTGTTTAATCAGCAAGAACTTGGAAGTTTTAAGGAGTAAAGAAATGGATGTACTTTTCTGTGAGTCACAGCAGCCCTTGTTTTCATTATTAGTGATCTGGATTTGCAGTGTGTTTTTTATATTTTCATTAAATGTGAGGGCTGCCTGTTCTGGGGTTCTGTTGTTATGTTTCTGAAATGTTTTTGCTTTTGATAGGACTGTCTTCATCAGTGGAACACAATATAACGGAGTTGGAACAAGAACTTGACAATGTAAAGACTCTTAAGACAAAATTAGGTATTGTACATTTTTTTCCTTGACTTATGTATTGGTCTTGGTTTCTTATTAAAGACTTTACTGTAGTCTGGAATATTTTTTAAAATTGTGAAATCTCTATGTTACAAGCTTTCAGTCTGTCCAAAGCCGTTAATAAAGAATGTCTTTTAGTTTGGAGAGAGGATGAGCACGTATTTGTTCACTTTATGTTGTTGTTGTTTTGTGTGTGTACAAAATGACTTTTCAAAGATGATGATGTTCCAAAATATCACTCCACTATCTTTTCACTTGTATTATTTCTGATAAGTAATCTTCTGTTATTCTTACCTTTTAATGTCTTATTTCTTTGTATTTATCCTTCTTGAGATCTGTGGCACTTCATGAGTGTGTGGCTTAATGTCTTTCATCCACTTGGGAAATTGTTGGCCATCATCTCATCAAATATTGCATCTGCTCATTCTCTTTTATTTCCTCAGACTCCAGTTATACATATGCTAGACCTTTTTACTCTTAAATCTTTTTCTTTATTTTCCCTCCTTTTTTTTTTGGAAAATAAGTAAACTACTTTATTTGCAGAAATCATAATCAGTTATTTAAAAATCCCTTTGGAATCTACAGAAAAAGCTAGAATGACTTCAATTTCCATTATTATGGTAGCTCTCTGACATCTTCATACACATTTCTTTTTAAAAATTTAAGTTTGATCCATCTTTTCCAGTTGTTCATGACGTAAGGATTGGTATGTTACAAAGTAGACCTTTGTCACTAGAAACAGAGATTTGCTTCCAGCCTTTAGGAAACTGGAAGTGTTTGCCTTTAGGATGTGGGATTAGAGGGGATTCTTAACTCATGTTACCTGATATTTCCAGATCTCTATCAGTGTGTAAATCTATCATTATAATAATATGTAAATTTAAAAAAGAAATACAAATATTACTGTATTTTTAGAGTAAGCTGTATATCCACAATATGTTTCATCAATAATTGAAACGTCTTTACGTTGCTAAAATTTGAGCATCACAGGATTGAGCTGTTTAATGTAGCAAACTGATTTTAAAATTCTGATTTTTATAGTGTGTGGAGGAAAATTAAAAATAATTTATGTTTTTAGGAAAAGATAATTTTTGTAAGAATAATACATACTGGTTGTATTAGTAGGGAATGAAAATGTGAATCTGGGGAGAAGTTTTGGAAATTACTGAAACTTTTATTATATTTTGTTTTTCCTTCTAATAGAGAGGCGCAAAAAGGCTTCAGCATGGGAAAGAAACTTGGTGTATCCTGCTGTTATGGTTCTCCTTCTTATTGAGACAGTAAGAATTTATTTGCCTAGTTAAATAAAGCAGATTATTTTTTATTTACTTTAGCATTTGTGTATGGCAACTCCCTCAGCTAAATGGTTTCAGGTAAACTGGTTTTCTATCAACAGGATTAAAATCTGTCTACGCTTTTATTTGTAAAAACTCAATAGAGCAAAAAATGAAATTAATGGTAATTTTGAAAAGTCCTCAAGATTATCTGTTTCCTCATAGAAGCAGGAAATTCATTCTTTGTTTCAGTTGAAAATTAAGAAGAGACAAGGTGTTGCAGATACCCTGATCAAACTCTGTGATAAGATCTGAAAATTATATTATTAAATTAGTTCTGATAACATTTCAACCATTTTTTAAATATGTGGAGTTGTGGGTTCCAATTGGTAAAATCGGTTAATAAGTGGATCTATATTAATAGCTTTTTTCTTAAGCTTTGAGATCATAGTACTTTGCAGAATTTTTACGAATTTATTCTGGAGTTTTTTATAGTCTCATTACTTCAGGTTTATATGTAGAGTTTTGGTCTTGACTGCTTTTCCTCTATTCTGAAGCATACATTTGGTTGGTTACTTAGATTTTAACGTTATGTGTATTGACAAAATTGAAATTCAGAACTGATGGCTTACTTTTTGTGTTGTAGTCCATTTCGGTCCTCTTGGTGGCTTGTAATATTCTTTGCCTGTTGGTTGATGAAACAGCAATGCCAAAGGGAACAAGGGTAAAGTAAAGTGCTTTAAAATGTCTTTCTTTTGCAAAAGTATTCTGTGTGTATAAACTGAGTGTTTCAAATAAATAAATGAAAACATTCACCTTTCTGCATATATATACTTCAAGTTGTATGAATTTCTTTATGCAGTGAGCTTTCATAAACAGTGTTTCTAAACTATGTTTTTTGTTTCTGATTTTGTATTTTGGATTGTCCGGCTTTTTATCAAGTATCAGAGTTTCCTTTTACACTTTGTATCAGAGTTTATCTTTGTTTTACTGAAATTCGTATTTGTGGTCCTTTAAGAAAATGTATATTTTGTGAAATAGTGAAATATAAAGAGTTTATTACATGGATTCGTTGCGTTTGCAAAGGATCGAAATATGTGGTTTTAGGGACTCATGCCTCAAAGGAGTCATTTTATGAACTTGAGTCAAAATGTTCAGTTGCTGGAGGAGAGTCAGATATACATCTTTTCATGAATTAACTTAATTATTTCTCTTGTTTAAAAATTCATGATTTTATTAAGTTCCATCAATTAGTCTATTTAAATATATTCTCCATATGGAAGGTAGTTTCCACTAAATATTCATATATGGCATACTTTTTCTAGGTGTCTCTATAAACTTTTGGATACTTAAAGTAGCATTTAAGTTTTGACATTTTATTACACTTTTCGAAGTTAGCACCTTTGCCATCTCCCATAGAGATGACTTCAAAACTCTTCCAGACTTTTCATGCTTTGGGGAAGGGAAAAATTTTTCCTTAACCCTTTCTAGGATCTTCTGGCTGGTCTAAGAATTAGATTTACATGAGACAGATTAACAGGAGAAAACAGAATTTAATTACGTGTATGTGGGAACCCGGTAAGAATAATGAGACCCCAGGACAGGTTGGGCAATTGAGGCTTGTATTCCATCTAAGAGAAGGAGAAGCGGGTAGGAGCTTGGGACTTCAGGCGGGAGGAAGGCAATTCACAAGGAGATGGAAAGCATATGTTTGGTAAACAGAGGGGACCCAGAGAGGCCTTTGGTCTCCAGGTCTTGTGGGTTCCGTCTACCACACTCAGCCAATATACTCTTTGTAGCTGTCTCTGGTGATAGTGCTCTGCCTGGACCAGGCCCTTCATCTGAATTCTTTTAGGCAGTTAAGGGGTGAGGTGGGGGTGGTGCTAAAAAGAAAGACTTACGAGTCTTCTGTTTCTTAAAAACAATCAGCCTAAAATGATCCTTATGCCAGAGAGACACCTTTTGGGGTGCAGATTTTGCTTCCCTACATGCCGCTTCTCTCTCTGAACCACACGATACACCTTTTCTCTCATAGAAAAAAGCCAATGTTTATCTTAATTCCTTTCCTTCAGTCAAAGATGAAGATACCCTCTTCTTTCAGAAGCTAATTCTTTCAGCAGTATTCTCAGTTTAGCTCCCTGCCCCCAGCCTCTTCAGGACCTTGTGCCATCTCTCACTGCCATGGCCTCTCCACCACTGCAAGCCTGCCAGCTTGCTTCAGGTCTGTCATTCCACTAACAAAAAACAGCAGTGAGCAGTCCTCCTCCATCCACAGCCTTGTCGTTGTCTTTTGTTTAGACCGAAATCCATTGATCAAGCAGAAGTCAACTACTGTGTTGACTTCTATCCTTTTTTTTTTTTTTTTTTTTTTTTTTTTTGTGGTACGCAGGCCTCTCACTGTTGTGGCCTCTCCCGTTGCGCAGCACAGGCTCCGGGCGCTCAGGCTCAGTGGCCATGGCTCACGGGCCCAGCTGCTCCGTGGCATGTGGGATCTTCCCGGACCGGGGCACGAACCCGTGTCCCTGCATCGGCAGGCGGACTCTCAACCCCTGTGCCACCAGGGAAGCCCTCTATCCATTTTTTAACCCATTTTCTTATACCACATACTAGGTGAGGCCCAAGCCCTGTGGTACATTTTTGTACCATTCCTTTCGTGCATAGTACAGAAGGACTTATATGTGGTATGCTCTTTTTATGATTGTGTAAATAAATCAGATCATCTTAATCTTGCCTGTAGGCCTTCTCTTGAGACAGAGAATATTTCCAAAGTGTTTTCCATCCCAGTTAATAAGCTTTCTGTTAGCATTATTCATTTTTTCTTCAAAAGATTGACAAAAGTTCATAAATTCTTTGTCCATTACCTTATTTATATATGAAATTTCTGTGGTATTGTAACTTCTTCATGCCTATATTAGATTGTGTAAATAATATGTGATATTATTTATTGGTTTATTTTTTTATTAAGCTGACTTTATATTCTTAATTATCCTGGTATATCTGTTAGATGTAATTGAAGCTGATAGCACAGTAGTAGTTTGTATTCAGAGAGTTTCTTTAATTAGTAAGCTTTGAAAACATTGTTCCTACTTCAGTAAGAAATGAGTTTTTGCCTGTCTGGCCTCGTTAATAAATATTACTTTTTCTATTGTTTTGTTAAGTTCTAGATAAAGATAGGTTTTGAGAATAGGTATGATGTTTAGGAAAAAATTTATAGCATTGCATTTGGAAAATCTGTGTTAATTAAATCCCTGAATTCCCAAGGAAGATTTAGGGAAAGGAAACTTTCAAGAGTAGTAACAGGATATGTGCATTCACTTTCTTTCTTTGCTTACCTTCCTTTTGACATATTTTAATTATATAGTCTTTATATGTTACCTCAGTGTTCAATTATTTGTTCTATTCTTATTATACTATTATATTTTTAAAAAACTTCTTCCAAGAATATTTAGGATTTAACAATAAGCATAATCATATCATTTTGATAAGTAACTTAAATTACATTTGAGATAAATCAGAAATGTTTTGAGCTTGTTAAAAGTGTTAACATGTGGTTGAATTAGTTGATGAATTCAGTCTCGTCACATTTTATTTTCCTTTGAACCTCTAGATGTTACTCCAGGGTATTAAACATTCCTAATTTCAACTGTCCTATATTTATGAGACAACAATTTTAGGGAAACCAAATATAATAGTGTCATTGAATTCTGAAAAGTGTTTTTTTTCCCCCCAGGGGCCTGGAATAGGAAATGCTTCTCTTTCTGCTTTTGGTTTTGTGGGAGCTGCACTTGAAATCATTTTGATATTGTATCCTTTCTTTAACTGAACTTCTGTCTGTTAACAAGTTTTCTGTCTAGTTTTCTGGGACAGTGGTAATTTACTAAGACACTCTCCTGGAAGAAAAAACAAGTCAGTGTTCCTCAAGCACTCCAAGTGGCATTTTGTTTTGTTTTGGTTTTCCTTTCGGCCTTAAGACATTTTGGAGACAATTGAGAACTTAAGGAAACAATTCTTTGGAGAGTTTTTCCTTGATTCTCACAGCTATCTTATGGTGTCCTCTGTTGTTGGTTTCTATAGCCTCCGATTTTTTGGAAACTTTATTCCCAAGAAGGATGACACAACGATGACAAAGGTAAGGTAAAGTCGTAGGTGACTGTGCCTCCCTTTTGCCTTCCAAGACAGACTGTGTTATTTAGTAATCGCAGTGAATGGTTCATTTGCGGTTCTAGGTATTTGTTTGTAAGTTGCGTAAACACACGCACTGGAAGATTTTCAAAATGCTGAATGAGTGGGAAAAGGATGTGCTCTGTTTAATTTGGATGGCATCCATTCACTTGTAAATGCATAGAACCGCAGAGCTTGTTAACTAGCTATAGACGGCTCCTGAAAGGACTCTTTTTCCTACAAAGAAAACGTATTGCTAATGAGTAACTTTGATTGTGCTGACTGTACTTCAGGGAACTTGTTTGAAATCTGAAGAACTTAGTTGCTACAAGTAGTAGAGACAAAGTATTTCAAATTTGAATAATTAAAGCAAGACGGAAGAGTTCTATTCAGAAACATTTTGTAGTCTGAGGCTAATTTGACTTTCTACAATATGTCATTGGCTTTGGAATAACAAAGGCTGTTATCTTATATAGTGACTGCATTTGTAAAATATTCCCACAGGCTGACAATGAAGAATAACAAGAGCTGCTGGCTTCTTTTCTTTTTTATTATATATTCCATATTTTCAGCTTATTCTAAAGGGGAGAAGTTATTTTTATATATCTTTATCTAAAATGCTATGGCTTCTTGAGATACTTAGCATCTAGTTTAAGTAATCATAAGTACTAAGTAATATTTTCAGCATCTCTTACTTAATATGAAAGAATAAGTATAGGATACAGTGAAAATTACTAGAATTTAGGTGTTTTGGATTTCTAGCTTTTTGGTATTAAATCTTATAATAGTTAAACATATTAGAAGTAGATATTATCTATCTTGAGCAGTAGTCTTGGCTTTAAAAGTAGAGTCAGAAGTATTAAAAATATTAATTTTTACTTGTTAGGCAAACCTTTTTGAAATCATCAACCTCAGTCAATAATGTAAACTGCGTTATCTGAGGTGTGAAGTAATTTGTGTTCTATAACTTTATATTTGTGTCAGGTACTGTAAATATCTTCTAGAACTCACAGATAGAACTTTAAATGTTGGTAGAAAAGTTTCTATTCTCTTTATTTTCTATGTTGAATTGTATCATTCAGAAGTTAGCAAAGAACAGTAGGTAACTGAAATGTCCAGTAACTTGTCAGAATGTGAATGGATTTTACTTATCCGTATACTGTGTAACTGCCCAATATTCTTTCTGATTTCTCATATCAGATCATTGGGAATTGTGTGTCAATCTTGGTCTTGAGCTCCGCACTGCCTGTTATGTCAAGAACACTGGGTAAGTTTAAATGAGAACTTTTCATTTAAAGTCAGTACCTTTTTAAGTATCAAACTTCTTGCTAAAGTTGTAGTTTCTAAACTGTTTTTCAAAGAGATCACTCTTTGAAATATATTATTCCCTCCCACATTATTTTATGCCTTTACTTCTGTAATTCATTTATATACAGAACTGTACCAAAATAAGTACTTTTATCAAATAAAGACTACTTATTGTTTCAAGTACTTAGAAATAGTCCTTGTCCAAACAACAGACTTTATTTTTTTCATTGACTAATTAAGCTTTGGAGTCCTCTAGTGAGGAAACTGTGATTTTTTTTAAAAAAACAATATTTAATGTCTAGAAAATACTAAACTAATTTTTTCCTACGCGAAATGTTTTAAAAAATGTGTAATTTAGTATGTGGTTTAAAAAATTGAGAATATGTAACACTTATTTTAAGCTGCTTTATGTCCAGGGAATAGACTTGAAAGCAGTAAGATCTAGGAGAGCACACACTGATTTAAAGGACATCCTTTAGCTCTTCAGCTTTTTACTGGCTTGTCATTTATATAGTTTTCTTAATTTTTCAATTCACAGAGAATTTTGGTCATCATTTAAAAGTAAAATATTTCCACTTTGTCATTGAAATAGTTGAATAAATCTTCCTTCATTTGGTGTTCTTTTCTTTTATAAAGCACTGTTGCAGACTGTATTCTCAGTTCTTGGCTAAATATTATTTCAGACAAAAATTTCCACTAGGCAGTTTTGTTCTGTTTTCTAGACTTAGATTTTGACTGGAGTGTTCACAAATGATTAGAAAAATCCCATTATTCAACCTTAGCAACATGCTTATGACAAAGATTGCAAGTAACTTTGAATTGCTTTTGTTTTAGCGCTTATGTGGCCTCCATTATTTATTCAAGGCCCACAGCTGTCGGGGATGCAGGCTGTGCCAGGAAGGGTATAAGCTTTGCGGTCATCTTCATAATGCTTACAGAGAAGTTCATGTTTTAATACAAGTGGAATCTAAATGTAAAGGTAGAAGGGACCGCTGTTGCACAGACTAATACAAAGCTCATTTACTTAGAGGTCTTATTTCTTTTGTGTTTGCATTATAGGACTTGTTATCATTTTGACATCTGCTTGTAGTGTGCTAATCTTGAAAATGCCATAAATATACACTTTAGTAACCTGATTTGTAGCTAACTGTGATCGTTTGTATTATGGCAGTCCAACAAATAATTTCTGTGATATTATAGCCAACCTACCATTTTATCATTTATGAAATTCACTGTGCTCTGTTATTTAAGATTAATTGTTAATAGTAATGTATAGATTTTATGGAAGAAAATTACATGCTGAGTACAGTTTTAATACAAAGAAAACAAATTAATGGCAAAATGTGCTTTTTGAAGATCAACAAATTAAATTCCTGAGTAGTTTGCCATAGAGATAAATAAAAAGAAGAAAAAGAGAGATGGAACAATTAAAATGCAGCTAACAAATGCCTGGACCCAGCTGTCCAAACAGGATTAATGGAGTGCATTAGGGTACAGTGAGTCATGTGGTGCTTTGCAAAATATCAACACGCACTGCACTACATGTTATGCCCAGTGGCACTGAATAGATGAAAAGAAGTAAATACGTTAAACAGATTCATAGAGGCTTTTCACAGTATTAAAAAAGCAAATTTCTAGACTAAAAGAAAAAGCTTTATTTTAGTATTATGGGAAATGCAAACTAGAGAGTTACTTTGTAATGCCTCTATTAACCCTTTAGAATTGAGTCTTTGATTTTAAGAAGATAAAATATAGAGAATTGTCATGAATATTATCCTAGTGTATAACGGGATTTTGATTTACTAGCTGAAAAGCTTATAAGACTAGAATAGAGGATGTATTTAGCAACCAAATTCCAAGCTGTGAAATTTTTCACTCTTTCTCATTGCCTCTCACAAGGAAGTCCTGACCCTTAGGGTGCTCTCATTTGCTCCTGTGAATTCAGCCAGTGTTCTCAGTTAAATGAGAAATGAAGGAGCAAGGAAAATTATAATTTATCTGTATAAGTGCAGTTTTTCTCTTATTTTAGTAATTTTTAGTGATGATTATAACTTTAATTGTAAATTGCAAGTGTATTGAATCCTGTATAAAATAATTTGGTGATATTTTTGCTTCAAAAATGAAAATGTTTTTTAAAAAATTTAATTTGCCAACTGCTATTGCTGCATCATTGGTATAAACTATAGCTTTAGACTTGAATACCTGGTGTGATATGACAGATTTATTACTGAATTCCTCTGAAATAGCTTCTTATATTTAAATATGGAAGATTTTATACTAATTAAAAAATTACCACTAAGTAGATTTTACAAGCATATTACTTGCCACAAAGAATTAGGCTGTGAGGAGCATCTTGGCTATGTATTTTTAGCCAAATATAATTAATATCGATTATAGTTTTGTTGTCCATTGGAAACACAAAGAATCTGTGCATTACACTTTTTATTTGAAATCTTTAAGACCTTTTAAAACTGATGCCATGTCAGTGGATATGCTTTCCAAAACGTTGCTTTGCTGCCTGTTTAGTGTTCAGTTTTGAAAAATCCAACATTTGGGGGGATATGATGTCCTTATTTTTAGCAATCAGTTTACTCTTTGGTATAATAGACTCTCAAGGTGATTAGAGGAGATGGTTCACAAAGTGAAAATGGAACAGGCTCAAACCTAATAAATTATCTATAGAGGCCCAGACATTTCTATAACAAAATATTTTAAAAGCAGCAGTGAATTTTGTGAGAATAGATTTTGCGAGATTGCTGACATGTTCTTGGTTATGCTTAATCAAGAAACAACTGAGAGATTGACAGTTTTTGCATTATTATTTGTTTGAAATCTCCTTTAACAGGAAAAATTTTCTCAGATGCAACCAATAGACTTCGTAATACTTTTACTAATTTCCATTTTGAAGTTATTTTTATAGTTAGTTGTATTTTCATCCTGAAATTCTTTCTGTAAATTATTCAAGGCCCAAAAGCAGGTATTTTTTAATACACTTAAAACAAAAAACACTTAACCTTTCAAATCAGCTTGGATCTATTTTTAGTATTTCCATGTATTTCTCATCTGGGTCCCATATAGTCCATCATCTTGCAGAATTTAAAGTGGATTATTCTCTTTTGTTCCTTGAAGAAGGGACTGTGTTTAAAAACTGGTCCTTTGCGGGAGAGGTTTTTATTTGGGTTTGTAAATACACTAGTAATCTTTACCCTGAGCTTTCCCTCTCCAGTGTGAATCAGAAATAAATGATACTTAGACATGACAAATGTGAAATTGAAGTATAAATCTTAATATATATTCCTAATTATGGCTTTGATGTAAAAATAATTCTAAACCCTGTATTGAAAATTTCTCCACAAAAAAATTGTATATGACTTAATTATATTCTGTTATATTGCAGAGAGTAATAAATGAGTGGTAAAATTAACTTTTGATTGATTACTAATGTTCTTATACCTGACCAATAAATTTGTTTATCTAGTTAGGATTTTTAATTATAAAGAAAAAGTATTCTGTGTCAGATGTCTGGAAGAAGTCACAGAGTCACTAATGCTCACTCCCTCAACACCCTCGTTCCCAGTGTCCACTTGTCGTGTCCTTCTGTTGCTGTTCTTGTTTCAGAGCACATAGTCCTTCTTGCCTGAGGAAATGTCGTGTTGGCCACATATTCTAAATAACTTAGCCATCTGTTGACATACATTCAACTCCCTTAAGTTTTGATTTGTTATAAAATATTTTTCATATGAAATTAATTCCAGTTAGTATTATTTAGTTGGAGGGAGCCTTAAGATATAATTTTTTTAATGTTAAGAATTAAAATGTTACAATTAAAACTAGAACGTAAACTACAGTGAGGGTCTTATTTACATTAAGAATCAAGACCCCCAACCTGGCTGAGAATAGTTAATAGTACACCTGTACATGGCCAACTCTGGGACTGATTAACAGATTATCTCCTTATTTATAGAAAATTTTATTTTTAAATTAATTTTTAAGTATGTACATGAATAACTTCTAATTATGAGGAATATTAAAGACAGAGGCTCAAATTCCTTGTGACCACCACTTTTATTTTTTTTTCTTTATTTTTTTAACATCTTTATTGGAGTATAATTGCTTTACAATGGTGTGTTAGTTTCTGCTATATAACAAAGTGAATCAGCTATACGTATACATGTATCCCCATATCCCCTCCCTCTTGCGTCTCCCTCCCACCCTCCCTATCCCACCCGTCCAGGTGGTCACAAAACACTGAGCTGATCTCCCTGTGCTATGTGGCTGCTTCCCACTAGCTATCTGTTTTACGTTTGGTAGTGTATATATGTCAATGCCACTCTCTCACTTCGTCCCAGCTTACCCTTCCCACTCCCCGTGTCCTCAAGTCCATTCTCTACCTCTGCATCTTTATTCCTGACCTGCCCCTAGGTTCGTCAGAACCATTTTTTTTTTAGATTCCATATATATGTGTTAGTATACGGTATTTGTTTTTCTCTTTCTGACTTCACTATGTACGACAGACTCTAGGTCCATCCACCTCACTACAAATAATTCAGTTTCGTTTCCTTTTATGGCTGAGTAATATTTCATTGTATATATGTGCCACATCTTCTTTATCCCTTCATCTGTCGAAGGACACTTAGGTTGCTTCCATGTCCTGGCTATTGTAAATAGTGCTGCAATGAACACTGTGGTACATGACTGTTTTTGAGTTATGGTTTTCTCAGGGTATATGCCCGGTAGTGGGATTGCTGGGTCATATGGAAGTTCTATTTTTAATTTTTTAAGGAAGCTCCATACTGTTCTCCATGGTGGCTGTACCAATTTACATTCCCACCAGCAGTGCAAGAGGGTTCCCTTTTCTCCACACCCTCTCCAGCATTTACTGTTTATAGATTTTTTGATGATGGCCATTCTGACTGGTGTGTGGTGATACCTCATTGTAGTTTTGATTTGCATTTCTCT